GTAGCAAAAGGCTTCTGACCTGGAGTTAACCCCAGCGTTTCGAACCGATTCAGCCAGAGTCCCTGTTTGTGATTTCTTCTAAGAAGTTTGCTGACATATCTATCTGCTTATGTGGAAACTTAACTCTGTTATTTCTCACAATTCCTCCTTTTTTTTTTAAATAAAGCTCTGGTAGGAAGTCTCATTGGCACTTTCAATCATCTTCCTTATATTGCCAGAGCCTACCATCTGAACTCCCACTGTGGGTTCTGCTGGGATAATCTTTAGTGAAGGATGTCTCACGTATTGTTGTATCAGTCCCCTAGTGCATAGAACTACACAACATCCTACAGCAGCTAATACTCCTGAATGGATAAACCAGGATTCTAACCATCCCTTTAATCAGTTAACTATCCCAGAGTTCTCTGTTAACTCCTCAGCTAAAGTGGTTAAACCTTTCAATGCCTTAGTGATGATTCTATCTGGGGCTGTGCTGCTGGGCAACATTTCATCAAGGGATTTTGGGGACTTAAAACGATATTGGAGAAGGAAGGGAAGAATTTACTGATGCATTGACAAATTAAAAAAGGGGGCAGTCCCTTATTAAGTACAGATACAGAGACCAAAAGTAACAATAAATTGTCCTTCAGGAGTTTCTTCTCATGCAGCTATCTGGCACTCTGGGAATCATCCGGTGAGGTCTTCTGGTCTAAGTACTGCTCAAACAGTGTCCAGCAGACTCTCTTCTTGTAGAAATCCTCCTTCTTATGTCCACTCTCTTACAAGATTGATCTTAACACAATTTTTAATTACCTCGCCAATAACCAAGGCAGATAATGAAAATTAACTCCACCATTCCAAGATCAAAATTGGAAACTTGGCTAATTGTCATGTTTCAAGAACTCAAATTAGAAAAATTAGAACCTAGCCTAGCCCCCAATTGTTATCAAGAAGTTACATTCTGCATTACTTCTAGTTTTATACCTTGCATTGACTCAAATACATAGCAGTTAATTTAAAACCAGTACATATCAAGTAAAACAATCCCAGCTTCTGGTCACGTACAAATAAATAATGGTTATTTAAAAAAGATGCTTCTTTCAAGGCATTTATAAGACAAGTCACAAGCTATTCTTTTAACACTCATTAATTGTATCAAACTGAGACAGCTTTCATCCTGGTTCCACAATCTCCTGGCCTAATTACCCTCATAAATTGTAAGCCAAATAACTCAATCTTATGCTTGCATCTTATCATAATAACCTCAGATGTTCCTTCATCAATCTATTGTTTAATAGATTTGATGTTTGTGCTTAGAAAACTTATGATTATAGTAATTTGCCATGAAAGAACAGGAACATTACTAAAGTAAGGGAACAATGTTGCCCTAGATTCATGTCAGTTCCAGGTAGGAGTTATATAATGACCAACTGCATTGAGCCAGGTTTTAAAGTCTGCCAGGTGTCAGAGTGGGGAAATTGAGTCAGGAGAATCCCACCTCAGCCATCCAGAAAAGTCATTCTCTGACGTTCCCATGAGAACACCCTCTTGCAGCTCATAGATGCAGCTCACAAACCTCTTAGCAGGTTGCTGACGTCCTGGGTCAGTAGCTCAATCAGCTCCTTGTTAACCATACCTGAAGTTAGACTCAGAATGATAGTCCATAACAATCCAAGGTCTTGGATAGCAAATTCCCCTTATCAGGACTATAGTTTCACATTAATTAGGGAACATCTCCAAAGTGAGATCTAAGTAGAGATCTAAGTAATTTGCATAACTTCCTACACATGTTCTGGTTCCCAATAACATCTTGAGTAAAATCCCTACTCTAAATAGATTTCCCTCTCTATTTCTCAAGCTTATTTATCCCTCTCTAACCATTCTTAATCTGAAAGAATGAGACCTTTTCAGGACTCGTTTCTTATACATATGATAAGTTCAAACAGTGATTTTAACTCTTGCTAGGCCCATGGAATGAATTCAGATCAAAACAGTAAGATCTTTCCTACTTACAATTTATTACAGAAATTTAGATGCTTTCGTATTAATCCTTAGATCTCTGACGCTGCTTCCATTGAGACTATTTCTCTAAAAGCGCCCAGTTAAATACAATCCAAGGATACAACAAACCCGGGAATGAAAGTCTAGGTTCATAGTAGGTTTGGACATAATTTTCTTACAAATAGAAATTTCATAGAAATATCTCCCTTTCTCAGCTTAGTTAAGAATTGATAATTGAAAGCCAAATAATCCCCACTAAAACCTTCCTTTCACAATAAATTGTTTGTACCACAGGACATGCATTATAAAATTATTTCCACAATAGTTGACTTTTCCATTACAAGACTGGGCATCTCCTTTGCAGTTCTGAAATCAGAAGGGAGATAAGAATTGCAAATCCAGAGAAAAGCACTCTCCCACTCTCTTCCAAATAGCTTTTATAATGTTAAAAGTCCTTATTTTTGCAATTTTAAACACATTGCCCCACCCAGACATTAGCAGTAGGGATACAAAGACACACATAAAGTATTTACAGACAGAAGGACAATGTGCTCATGATTCTAATTCTAACCTTGATTGGTCAAAAGAAATTCATTTTGTCCCAGGGTCTGCTTTGCATGGTTTCCCAGGTTCTCCCCGCCCCTCCTTTTTTTTGCCAAAAGGATTATATTCCCATATTTTCCTAGTCAGATTTTCCTCAAACCTTTTTAGTATTAATTCACACTCTTCATCACTGGGCCTAGTTTCACTGGTCCTTTCCACCATGACCTTTACTTGGCCTTCTCCTGCAATATGGACTTGTCCTAATTTATTCAGAGAATCTTGTATTATTCGAGTGATAAGGTGAATCATGCAGGGCAGGCAAATTGTGAGGAGGATAATTCCTCCTAGAACCAATAAAAGGACCCCTAATATTTGTTTCCACCAGGCCCCACCAAACCAGGATAGCCATGTTGTGCTAAAAGGAGAAGTTCAAGTTTGAACAGGAACATGGGCTAGTTTCCTAATATCCCTAGTAATTTCTTTAACTATGTTCCCATTGTATTACTCTGTTGAGCATGTATGTGGGTGTCCTATAACCCCAGCTCCCATCTTGGGCCCTGGTAGCTGGCCCATAGGTTTTGATTATTCTCTCTGGGGGCCAAGTGTCTCCCCAATCATTTGCATCTCCTGTATTAGTGATAGAAGCGTCGAGACTTCATTTTTCTCTATAATCTAAGTCCCCATATAATCTAATGACCTATTTCCTTCCATCACCCTCTGGTAAGAAGAAGAATTTTGGTCTTATTAACCCAATATAACAGATACCTGTCCAGTTAGAAGGCAAATGAGTATAGGCCATTTGTCCACGTATCCAATAATGCCCTTTGAGAGTTGGCCGCTCTCTTTGATATAGACGTGACTGAAACCTAGTCTGAGGGTAGTACTGAGCATTCTCATTTCCCAGTGGACCTGTCCTTATAGTTGCTGTTGTTCTTTCCACAAACAAATAACATTATCTTTTGTTTTATTCTCTTTGCTCCAAAACCAGTGGAGTGTTCCTGAACTGTTTCTATGCCTCCAACTCCATGTGGGAATAGTGTCATTGACCAAGCTTTAATTACTTTATGTGTCGGACAGGTCAGTAATCCCGAATCCACTTTACAAGGATAGGTACCACCTACCACACAGCTATTAATACCATGTTTTTCCTCATCAGGATTCTCAGAGGTACAAGGCTTCCAACTCTGGTTAGGGCACCTGATAGCAGATTCATTCCATTGCCCCTCATACTTGGTACAATTTACTAAACATTGGGTATATTTTCCTCTCCTACATTCAGGTCTCCTGGTGTATGTTCATTCACAATCACCATCTCCTAGCCAATTTCCTCCTCCAGTCTGGTTCAACCAATATTTGCCCTGTAATGACTCCGTCAAATGCCATTGGTGTTCTTCGCTAGATGACCAGAAACCTGAAGCACTATGTACCTCTGAGCGGTTACTGAGAATCCAGGACGGATCTAGAGGTGCAGGTACCCATGGCCAATTCTCAAGCTGCTGTGGACCTCCACAGATCCAACAATTGGTCACATTGAAGCTTTTGGCAATGACTTCCATCAGTTGGAGGTATTTGTTCCCGTCCATTTCCCATAGTAGGGACTATAGGATTAGGGCTGCTTGACCACAGGTCCAGATCTTCATGACCTCTATTCCTTGGTTTCAGCTAGTTCTATTGTGACACTGAAAGTAATTTAAAGGGGGTAGGAGCAGACAATTTTACATACAAAATACTCAGAAAGTTAGGACTATTCCCAATAGCCAAAATGAAGTTATACAACACAATTTTCACCCTTTGTTTCCCTCTCTAAGGGAGGATATGATTATGTAAAGAGCTAACCAAGATCAGTCATTTAGGTCCTTTTCAGAGAGTGGTCCTCCATGATTCGGAGTCCAGATCCAGATCCAGAACCTCCAATCCTGAGGTCCCTCCACTGGTCCCTTTACCTTAGTATAATGAGTCCAACCTTTTTTAGCAGTTCGTATTGCTGTTTCAGTTGTCAGCAGGACTTGGTAAGGTCCTTCCCAGTTCAGAGCAAACTTGGCCTCCTTCCACATCTTTATTAACACCCAGTCTCCCAACTTGAAATGATGAGCTGTGAATTTGAGTGGTGGAGTCTATGCTAATGAACCTTTCTTTCAAAGTTCTGAAAGGGAGGATGACACTGCCAGTATATAGTCTTTTAAGAACCTGTCTTTAGATTCAAATGTAGGCAAATCCTCACTCCCTCCCGGGTAGGATAACCCATATAACATTTCATAAGGGGATAACCCAACATCCTTTCTGGGGGGTAGTTCTTATCCTGAGTAAAGCTATTGGCAAGCATGTAGTCCACGGCAACTGAGTCTCTATTCCCAATTTAGTTAGTTGTTTCTTTAAGGTTTGATTCATTCTTTCAACCCTTCCAGAAGAGGTGGGGTACCAAGGGGTGTGGAATTCCCACCTGATGTCTAAGCTAGCCATAATGTTCTGCAATACCTTGGCTGTGAAATGAGATCCATTGTCCGAGTTGATTCTTTCTACCAATCCAAACCTGGGAATGATTTCTTCCAAGATTACCTTGCTGACCCCTAAAGCTGTGGCTGAACTAAGGGGATGGGCTTCTACCCATCCAGTTAAACGATCCACTCTAACTAGTAAATATCTCATTTTCCCTACCAGTGGCATTTCAGTGAAATCAACTTGAATACTCTGAAAGGGTCTTAAGTTCAGACTTCGACCCCCAGTACAGATTTTCTTAATACTTTCTTGCTCACTTTTTGACATACTGCATATCTTTCAATAATTTGTTTGGCTATTGTATAGATTCCCAAACTTCTAAAATATCTCAATATCACATCACACATAACTTGAGTCCCCCAGTGATTTCCTTTATGTAGAATTCCTAGTAATTCCCTTGTAATTTCCTTATTAAGTACTTTTCTCCCGTCGGGGAGAACCCACCGTCGTGGTTCCTCTTTTACAGGCTCTAATTTTTCCAGCTCTTCCTGTTCCTTTTTATTAAACAGAGGAGCAACCTTTGGAGTTTTAATCTCGGGTATGAGAATCAGCATTTTGGTTCCGACCTCCTTCAAAGAGGCCTTTTTGCTTCTTCATCTGCCAGTCTATTTCCAATTATTTCCGGGGGCTTCCCTTCTGATGTCCCCTGATATGTACTACGGCTATCTCATTTGGCAGTAATAAATTTCTCATCACTTGTTTAATTAATTCTTCATGAGCCAATTCTTTCCCTTTACTATTAATCAATCCTCTCTCTTCCCAAATCTTTCCAGGGCTTGATTCAACGCGTACCGTTTGCAAGTTTGAGCAGACAGACCACTGTTTTGGGAGAGTCCCTGACCCCATTGCTTGCCATGAATCTCCATCTATTATAGCATAGCCATTTCTCCTTCTCCTTTCCATCATTCTTGAAGAGCCATCAACCAACAACGCTTTCCCTGTCTCAAAGGGAATATCCCTCAGATAGGACTTCCTTTCCTTTTTGAAGTTTCTCACTTCTACAGTGCTCAATGGGGCATTCACAAAACATATTCCCCCTCCAAGACCCCTGTGGGCACCTCCCTGAGTGGGAACATAGTAGTTGTTCCAGGAAGGCCGGTAGCTCCTGGCTCACAAAAGGGCAGACTACAAACATCCTTCTTACACTGTTCTAACTCTTTTCTTAGCCTGGAATACAATCTGTCTTCTGCCTCTTTCTCTGAAGTTTTTTACTGTGGCTGGTGTAGATGTTACAGCAGCAGGGGATGGAGGAGCAGAGAGCGGGGAAAGGAGGGGTGAAGGTGAAGTATCAGGCAAGGGTGAGTTGTAGGGAGAAGGGGGAAATGCAGACAAAGGATCCCATTTACAGGGAGGGCCCTCATCCCCTGACTGCTTTTCCTCCTTCTCCCCCTTGATTTGGCTTAAAAACGTATTAGTAGGGGGGTACAGTTCCCTTTATCCAGCATGCTGCATAATCCTGTTCTTCCTGACTGCTTCTTTTATTATTCACATATACATTCAACCACTGGCATATCCAATCCTCATCCTCCCCAAACCTGGGCCAAAAGACTGAGGGTTTTAAAATAGGTTCCTTTATCCAATCATAACTACAATATTTGATCATTTTCTTTTTATCTTTCCCTCGGGTTTTTGATCCAAATTCCCAATTTGCTAGCAATGTCCCCAGTGGACTACTTTGGGGTATCTCCAGAAGGGGTTCCTCAAGCCCTTGTCTGGAGCCTTTTCCTTTGAATTTTTCCCTCCCATCTCTAAGTCAAGTCTATTAACCAACACTTAGTTAACCCAGACAAAATGACTCCCAGAGATAAGGTTCTCTAAG